CGAACGAACGAACATGTTCGTAGATTCTACGAACGAACGAACGAACAAACGAACATGTTCGCATACGAACGAACGAACGAGCGCTCGTTGACCGCTCTGGTTTCATCACATTAATCCGAAATGTTTCAAACAAATTTTGAATTGGTTTCCATTGGTCTTGATTTGAAAATATTGTTTTTTTGTTTGTTTGCAACGGTGAACTTGACACTCGAATTCCAAATGTACTTTTGTGAAACAGAGTGTTTATCATTTGTAAGCGGCAATGTTAAAGTTGTGAAGTAAACAAATCCATCATTGTGTGCGCATCCTGAAAATCCATTGCGTTCCAAAGTGCTGGGAAAAACTGGTCAATTGTAGCAAATGTTGTTGTCTCTCTTATTTCTACTAGTTTTTGAGAAGTGAATCTCTCGAAGTTGTGAACACGTTTTTTTTTTAAATTTTGTTTTGGTCCACGGTGAATAAACAACACTTGACAACTTTTATCTGGATTTGTGTCATGAACTGAAATCGGAGAACGAAAAGAAGTTGCAGTCACAACATCGAAGAAAAAAAATTAACTGTGTTACAGATGATATCGTTGTATGAGTAATTTCGGTTCCTCTGGTATAATCTCAACTTTCCATCATCGTCATTGTTTTGAATGTGCGCGATGTGGTTTCTGTGGTCGATTTTATTTGTCGCAAAAGAGCGACGTACATTTTGTTCTTGAACCAGTGTAAACATAGATTGACTCCGCAGAGAATTCAAGCGAACGGTCCAACACGGCACAGCACCCCCGTGAGAACGATTGGGATTTACAGCAGCTATTAAAAACCACAAGTCAAATAAAAAAATCGCTTCTTTTGTATTTCTGGCCACAAAACCGCCGAAGAAAATTTTGTAAAACAGAAATGCGGAAGATCACGCATAACATGTGACTATAGAAAAAAGACCGAAGAGAAGAAACTCACCAGCACCAAGCGAATCTAGTGATTTCGAAATTCAATAAAAACCATGTGCTCGCTCAGGAAGTAAATTACATCGAATGGAGATTTAAGTTGGGCAAAAGTTTTGGCAGCAAAAACATTTTTCAGGTCTCGTGTGCGCTGGTTTTTGCTTGTGAACGTTAAAAAAAACCGGTGAGAATGATGGTGGAAATATTAAGCAGAATGCACGACGTCAAATTATTATAGTTTGGACAACGGGTTTGCCTGAGCATTTTTCAAACAAAAATTGAAAATTACAAAAAAAAACGAAGTGATTCGAGTTAAAAAAAAAAAGAAACGTTTCGTCGACTTTTCCCGTGTTCGCAGTTGAAATAACGCTATTTTAATCGATGCTTTTGCATCAGTCATTCGGTTAAATTTTATTACCTTCGACTCATCAGCTCTATTTTTGGACGCCTTCATCCATCTGTTCCAATGTATGTTCATACATATTTCATGGTTTAAACATAAACTGTTTGTCATTCGTGAGTGAGTGAATGTATTTGCGTCATCAATCCATCAATTTGCTAGCGAAAGATGCAGTTTGGTACTGACTTTACCACCCTTAATATCCTTATATATAATAACATATGTTTTTTTAAATGTCAGGTATAAATCTATGTAGAAGTTTTATGTGTTAGTGTTGTTTTTGCCGTCGTGAACATATTTCTCTTCGGCGAACAACCGAAGTGTTATTTGAAATAAGCGGGAGAGGTTATCGGACGAGCGTGTACGCAACGGCAGCAGAATTTCCATCGTTCACTTACTGGACGATAATTCAATTTCGCTGTATTGTCATGTGGTGATTAACAGTGTAATTAACGTAATGCCAAAGCATACAATATTTAAAAAGCGATTAAATGACTTTCGTTGATATTCAGGGCCGGATGATGATGATGATGATGATGTGATGGCCGACGCCGAATATTCACCTGCATTGAGAAAAACAAAAACGAAAATATATGATTCATTATTCAAAAAAAAGGAGATAGGTCAGGTAGAGAAATTATTAAATTATACATTATCAAACTGACCAAACTGAAATGTACGCCATTGGGTAAATAGTGTCCTTTTGCTTTCAGGTACAGAGAGAGCGAGAGAAAGAAATTTATTGCTTCATTAGAGATGAAAATGGAATTGCCAAAGCGGTGATGAAGCCAAAGTGGTACAACCGGTTAAAAAACAATTGATTATTTCTGTCAACGACCAATGACAATGGCATCGAACCGTGTGTAACATGTTCATTAATGTTGCATTCGGTAGCATTAAATGGAAATTCATATATTCTGACTAAATCAAAGTGTAAGTTGTGCGATTGAACATAAAATGGGGTTTATCGCTGATTTCAAATCGCGCTATAGCAAACCGAACACTCTCTCACTCTTTCATTTTAACTCTACTCTACTCTCTCTATCTCTCTTTCTCTCTCTCTTTCTCTCTCTCTTTCTCTCTTTCTCTCTTTCTCTTTCACTGTATATGTGGTTTAGCTTCATTTATTTTTGAGCTAATTACATATTAACACGTGCGTACACTAAATTTTATGGGTGTAATTGAAAATTGTGGTTGTTGGATCGTTTTGTGTATGTGTTTGTGTGTACACGATTTGATCGACATCAAATGCAAATTTGCCCGCGGCATCCAATCAAACATTCATTTTATTTGCTTGTGAACAAAAGCCATCATCTACTATCACGCTTCGATTGTGTGTTCGATGATGATATCGCGTATAGCAAATGTCGCTTTTTTTGGAAGCAATCAAATTGAATTTTATATGAATTTGACATGAACTACATGCTCAATTAGCCCCAAAAAAGAAATATCCGTTCCAAAAGTAGGAAACCATTCAATCTTCTGATATAATGAAAACAACACATTTTTGGTCATTGGTCAAGCAAACTCAAGAAAATTTCCGTCATCAAATATTCAAAGTTATATTTATTTTTCGGACTGACGAGAGGAGAAAAAATTCCAATGAAGGACAGCAGAAGTAAACCATACCTATGGGCGGTTTAATTAGGGAAATATGAGTTAATCCACTTACCATTGATAACATGTAGTACAATGGTGACGCTTGGACTATTTGATGGATTGCATGTATAATTACCGGAATCTTTCTTCTTGATTGTTGGAATATACAAAGTACCAACCTAAAATAAAGAACCAAAAATTATATTAACATTGTTATGATTTCATGAGCTATTCAAGGGAAATTGGGTGGTTTATTAAGTCAAGCTCCTTGGTCTATATCAAGAAGGATTTTTTTCTGTTCAAAATGTAAGAAAACAGCGGGAGAAAAGAAAAAAAGGTGCAAAATAAACTCTCACCGTTTTTCTTGAATCGAACATGGATTGTTGGCTTGAGGCAAGCGGTTCAGTTTCATCGCCAGATTTGCCCAATTTGTTCGAATGCATATCTTGATGGGAGACTTCTGTTTTCCAGTGCCTTCCATTATCAGGAAAGATTTGTTGTTGTCCATGGTACCAAATCACGTACAACGGTGGATCAATTGCGCCACTAATGACACAATGCAATGTCACTCGGCTACCCTCTTTCACATAACGCACAGTATCACCCATCGGTTCTGTTTTTGGAACTGCAAAATTAGATACATTTTAAATAAAAGATAACATGATTTCAGTCCAAAGGAAAATGTTATCGATTTTCCATTACACTTACCCACTACGTGCAAATAAACACGGGCGCTAATTTTTGGTTCGGCTGAAATTTGGCATTCATAAAGACCAGCATCTCTAGCTTGAACGTATTTAATTTGCAATGTCCACGGTGAATTTGCTGAATTTGTAGTGTTGTTATGGTCGTTGTTGGTTTTTTGTACAGCACCAGCTAATTGCCGTCGTTGATTTGATAATGTTGACGTGGCCGACGATTGAGTCGCACCATTTTCCATGGCATGATATGCATGGAAGCGTTCATCGGCGATAAATGTGATTTGATCAACGGTTAAAATGTGATCATCGCGGACGCGCACCCATGACACCGATTTGTTGAAAACTAGTCTCACCTGAGCACAGAGAAAAAGCGAGAAAAGGAAAAAAGAATCAAATTATTTTAGCCATTCGAAGAGCGAAAAAAATAACAGTTGGTGCAATTTCAGTGAATGAAAATGACGTCGTAAAACGATGAATTTGCACCGAGACCAAAATGAAATCCGATTAGCTAAATGGTTATTTATTGAGCGAATATCATAATCGTAAAAGCAAATGCTGTATCCCCCTGCTGTTCTCATGACCATTACGCACGGACAATACCCACGATTGTCAACCATTTTGCTAAAGTTAAATTGTCTGTCGACAAATTCTGAATTCAGGGCTTACGCTGTATATCGATTGAAATGTGTACCTGAATTTGGATGAAAATGGTAAGCGGAACCATTTACATGAATCTAGTCTTACAGCCAAACGAATTTATGCTTTTTAATATGTGTACTGAACGAGTTCTGACGCGCGGTCAAAATGCAATAAAATCCGCTCTTGAGTTGAAGAACGGCATTGGTTCAATAATAATCGACTTATAGAATGCAATTTTATGCACATGAGAATGTAAATACAGTATTTTTCGGATAATTTTATTATTTTGAATTCCAAAAGCTCAAACACATTATTTGGCAAGTTTTTTTTTATATAAAGCTGGCAACTTTTCCACGAATTATCCAAAAACAAAAGTTTCGGAGTTTTTTTTGTCTCAGTGTAATTTAATTGAGCTCGCCAGAGAGCAAAAATGAATTCAATTTTCAATGCTTCGGACAAAGCAATTCGGTAAACACACAAGGAAAAAATAGTTTAATCTTTTTCGAAACAATGAATAATTAGAGGAGATTTTCGGTGTTTGCAGCTGGCTCACATGCACAAGAGAAACGAAGAGTTACAGAGAAAAGGTGTATGGCGAGAGAATAGAATCGTCCATGTTTGAGTTACCATGAGGTTTAAATATCCAGCAAATGTAAAGCGATATCCCGTGTGGCGAACAAGCGAGCCAAAACGAGAGAGAGCGAGAAAACGGGAGAGATGTAGAAGAGTACACCGTAAAATTGTCAAATAAAATTGTTTGAGTTGAGCGCAATTTGTAAAATGTTGGGTTAAACAAGTCAACTTTATCTTCTCGGCGCCAGTTAAAACTGAAATACAAACTGCGTCTAGTGGTTCTTTCCCTCTCACTGTCTGTCGCTTGTTTGCAAGCCGCCAGTATGAAATTCGGTTGCATTGGCCAAAACACGCTTCTCTCAACCAAAAGCTCACATAATCGCATTTCAAATGAATTTTGCAACGTTTTCACCGACCAATATAAATAACAACAGCAACAACCGCTTGAGCTTCTTATCGAGAACTCGAACAAGCGAACGAACGACAAAGGGAAAATCAAGTAAGAACCAAAACCGGCCACTGAGCACAATATAATACAATAGATGGTAATCATATAATAAATAGGCAAACAAATCGTATTCAGTTGAAAATCAAAATTGCATCTGCACAGACGCAAAGCGTCTGTTTATTCATCTGTTTGCATCGGCTGTTCTGCTTTCTCCTTCTCTATTTCTCTGTCGATTGTTCCGCATACATTGCTTTGTTTACACTATGGATTTGGTCATCAGCAGAATCACATTGACATATTGCGCTGTTGCTACATTTCCGACGAAGCTGCTACCATCACCACCACCACCACCTCCCTAGACCCATCATCGGCGTCATATTGTTTCCAAATCAGTATCAAACAAAACTTAAAATATTTTTCCACAAGCAAAAACCAATTCGAGAATTCAGTAAAACTCTCACAGTTCGTAATTCGAGCACTTGTCTTTGGCTATGAAGCGCAGAGAGCATAGTTGTCATTTGGCCACACAGCTTGATATCAAAACAAGCTCCAATATGCTTGAGATGATTCATTTTTCCGTTCTTGTTCACCCACCGCAATTTGTTCACTTGGAATTTAGTTTTTTTCCGTTTTGGGTTATGGTTCCCACCTAAATTCGGCTCGACAAAAATGTTTTATTATGAGCAATGTTCTCGTTCTATAAACTTTTTCATCCCCATTTGAATATGTTGCGCATCATCGAAACCGCACAATACAAAACAAACGATAAAACTTCCACAAAATGAGCTGTGCAACACAGCTACACAACAACAGAATAAAAAATCAACAACTATTCGAAAAGATAAATTTAGCAATGAAAAGTTACACCGAAACTCAAACAGAAAAAAAATTGCATACAAATGCGGAATGAGACCGAGTGCAGTAAATTGCTTGAAATAGAGAAAGTTAATAATCTCATCCCTCGGTTGTATTTTCGCAATGAGCGTGCAAACCACATCATTTATTGCAAATTTATTATCTCTCTTGTCTGCTCGAGAAGAGATGCAATATTTGTTTCAACTTTTGTACTGTGGCCCATTGGCCCATTTTCACTCAGTGAATTTTACGAATTGGATTAGTTATAATTTATAACTTATAAACTCTATCTCTCTTTCGCTTCAGCTCATTGGAATACATATATTGTGAAGCAAATGTAGCTAGAGTGATTATATGCACGTTCTGGTAATGAATTTCGAGTGGCGAGTTCGTTCTATGTGCCTTTTTCAAGAGTTTGAATGAATTTTGAGACAAACCTTTTTAAGAATGGACCATGTTTTTTTGTATCCGTATTTGAATTTCACATTCAACATAAGGGTCGATTGATTGGAGTTAACACTTCGATCATCATGGATTCAAATGTAAGTCCAACTAATTAACGTATTCTGAATTGTAACGTGTCGAAAACCAATAAGTGAATAAATATTTACTTAGCATCCCTAAAAGCGTTCAATGTCGACCAAATTGGAATCCATCGAAATCAAATCAAATGTATCCAATTCGATTTCCAAATTCATCATTCAACTTATTCGTACTCGGAAACTATCGCAGTGTCATTTCCAAGCGGAAAAAAGAAGCAAATAGAAAGAGAGAGAAATATATTAGCCACTTACTTTACACGGCAGATATGCATTTGTTCCAATTTGTGCGGTTACATTCGTAATTCCATAATCGGGTTTAGTGATGGACAACGCGGACGCTGAAGCGGAAGCAGATGGTGATGAAATTAATGCAGCTGCATGTGGTTGAAGTTGAGGTTGCTCCGCAAATCCGATTGTTACCGATGCGGCAGCTGTCACAGTGACGCTGCTCAACAACAACACCGTTGTCGAAGCTAGCGCAAACGTTTCAAACAATTTTGATGTCATTCGCATGATTCTTGATGCACTTATACTATTTATTCCTCTACTAAACATTGCACCGGCGGACATTTTGTCATTCCTAAATCCACCTGCAAAAAACAAGAAAATAAGAACAATTTAAATCAAAATGGAACACAAACAGCTCAAAGTATTTCAAATTTTCATGTCAAGAACTCGGAAACATTACGACCAAAGTGGAATTTTTAACACCATCCAAGTTTTACAAGCCAAAAACATGTTAATTTAAAATTGTTGAACGCTAAAAGTTACAACTGGACGTGAAATTATAGTCGTTAGAAAATGCAATTGACGCAATTGGAGTATTTCATCGATAGTTTTATATTTTCTTTAATAAAAGTAAAATCAAAACCAAATAAAAGAATCTTCCAAAACACTAAAAAAGTTAAAATTTAAAACATATTTTAAATAATTAATTGTTTTTTTTTCTTTTTGCAATCAATCAATATGGACTGGTCAAATGAACTGCTGTAAAATATGCATATATTGTATATGATTCTATCTTTTACTTAAATAAATAAATAAATAAATTGTGGACAAACAAAAATTATTATTGATTACTGGTTTTGAATTAATTTTTTAAACTTCTTTCTGTTCAGCGAGAAATCGCAATCAAATGTTTGATTGCTCTGACTTTCCTTTTAAATAAGCTCGTTTCAATGGATGCTTTCTAAAAGTTTATTTCTCATTTTTCATACTTTATCATATAAAAATTTTAATTACTCCACAAAAATATTCAGTGTATTCCAGTGAATTGAATAAATAAACAAAGGAATTGACACCCATAGAATGGAAAAAGAACTTCTGAACTCTTTGCCGATAAATAAAACGAAAAAAAAACTTAGAGCAAAAAAGAAACAAATGAAGTTGCGAGCAAAAGTTACACAAGTAGCCATTGAGCGCAAAACACGTTTTTCTCATTTTTCTCGCTACTGGAGAAAGATAGCGACTAGGTGTCTTCGGCAATATTGTAGAAAATGGAAATAACTACAAATAAGCCGAAGACACCTAGTCGCTGTCTTTTTCCAGTAGCGAGAAAAATGAGAAAAACGTGTTTTTTTTTCGTTTCATTTATCGGCAAAGAGTTCAGAAGTTGTTATTTTGTTCTTAGGCTGTCAATTCTTCTATCATGCTCCGTGTAAATTGGCAAAAAATGTATGAATTGTAATGCATAATTTTTTTTTGTTCACTAAAGATCAAAGTAAATATACACGATGTTTTTTATATTGCATTTCATGCTTATTAAATTGTTGGTAGAGTGCTTCGTATTACACAGTTACAGTAACTGGATGCAATGGTGGTTGGTGTAGGAAAATTGCGTGCTTCATTTATATGCGTTTTGGGAGTTGATGCAAAGTGAAAAAACCACTTAATAAATTAATAGCTTCTTGTCCCTCGCTCTGGAAAAACAATCAACCGTTGTACATTTTTTTGTTCTGCTGTTGAAGTCATTCTAATTAATTCTGCTGTTTCCTAGCGTTTTTTTTTTGTAGCAGAAGCAAATTTATTTCACCGCATTTGTTTTATTGGATCGAGTCGCACATACATCGAGTGTTTGCGCGTTCACTGCAATCATACATAATTACCTAGTTTAAGTGGCTAAATTAACGATAAATGGCTATAGTTGTTGGCGATAGTTGATAGTCGGCATGTGTCCCATCGCACGGAAACCGGATGGAAAAATTGTTTTTTGATGCAAATGGTTTGCACACAAAAACCGATTAAGCTTCCTTTTCAACCTCCAACCTAAACGGAGGGCGGTAGCGACGGTGTGGGAGGAAACTGTTTTGCTTGATCGATGATTTATCGGTTGAAAATAAAATCGATGTACTCTATTATTATAGCGCGTTGCAGCTTGGGTTGCCACGTGTGTTGAATTGCAGTCGCATTTGCAGCCGAAGCCATAATTTCCGTTCAGAGCATCATTATAAAATACACATGTGAATTTCACCAAACAACCGACCTTAAATCGGATGTTTTTACCCCTGCTATTTTCCACTGCCTCTCATCCTGCTGTCCAAATCCAGAGATGGTTCATTTTTTACCACAAGTGTATGGAAATGTGTATCGGTATATACTAAAACGTATACCTTTGCGTTTAACGCGTTGAGCGCATGCGTCAGCTACCACTTTTGTGATAGCGAACGCAAAGGTATATCAATGTATATATACCGTTCTGTACGGAGTACAGTAAATACAACGAATTGATATACATATACTCCATCTCTGTCCAAATCAAAGCCGATTTTATTGACCGTACCAAAAGCGGTTGTTTCATTCAACAAAATGGCAATTTATCGATAGTGCGAGAGATGTTAACCAAACAGCCATTATTATTTTCTATTCATATTGCAGATTACAACGTGATGCTATCACCCGCTACAACATCTCGTGCATCTCGGGAAATTAATGAGCCGGACCTTGCAGCGATGCACACACAAATGCATACATAAACATTAAACAACAACAAAACTGCATATCGTTTGTTTCATAAATTCAAAACTGTGAGAAAAATTAATGGATATGCCTAAATTTAGGCTCAGAAAGTATAAAGATAATCGAGTTTTCTTGTGAAAATCCTTACAAATTCGTTTTTCTATTTCAACGTTATGTGAGAAAAGTTGTAATAAAAACCACTTCCTTTAGAGATCTTGTTCAAGTTTTATGTATAATCTTCAATCGATTTCTGGGAAAACAGCTCGCTTCTGTCGAGATATTATCCAATGTTCGCATATATTGTGACTTTCGTCTACACTGTATTTTGTTATGACAGACAGGCTGTGCGTGCAGTGATAAACGTGTATTGAACACGTTATCGGAAATGGAACAGCAGCGTCGCAAATCAAACATTATGTAATACACATTGATTTGATATACACGGGCTGTTGTCGTTTCATCGACTAGCAACCACTTGACAATGATACGCAGCAACGTGTGTGTGTTCGCTTGAAAGTATTCACTTGAGCATGAGGATGGGCTCGTGAGGTGCTTCTATCGAAATTCGATTTTTTCATATTGAAAGAACACATTTGAATTCGTATTATTTGAAGTGATGCCTTTTTTGAAAACATGAATACTCAAAATCATACATGCGAATCAATATGTAATGTTGAGATGAATGCTCGTCTAAAAGATTCAAATAAAGCTGTCATCAACACCCTCTCAAAACAATCCGCATCGTTTGGTTAGTCGCGATCGAAATGAGTTTCATTGTAATTAATTATCACTTATAGCTTATTTCATTGCCTCACCACACACACATACATTGCAAATGGTTATGCAATAAAAATGCGGAAACTGCACACGTTTTCCGTGTATTTGTTTCAATTTGACAAGTATATATCTTTTCAGAATCGACTTGATTGAATTCGCTGAGAGAACGAGACATAGAGAAAGAGATAAACATGTAAAAACGGGCAAACATTTTCGTCGACTAATTGGCGCTGTAGTTTCCAAATTTCATTGGATGAATTGCGCAACTCGAATTCACCATTATGATTACGTAATTTTTGATTATCATTTTGGGCCCTATGCGAAAAGCGAGAAATGTCATGCCGAATCCAATTTGTGTTAATGCTATTTAAACAAGTCGCATAGATTTCAAACTCCGGTGATGCTGCTGCTACTGCTGCTGCTTTTTGTGTGTCAGTTTGCCCCGTATGAATCACACATCTATACTAGCAACGGCTGTGTGCATAAATTTTAATCTCGCACATAATTAATGCAAACACATGTATGAATCGTTTAAGCATGATAATGTGCCACATTCGACTCGAGTGGAGACTACACCGCTTTTAACATGGTAATGCATGATTTGTACAATTTTCAAATATGAATGATTTCGAATTTTGCGTTTTTCGATTCGGGGAAACGTTCTCGTAATCTGACTTTGACACGAATACGGAACACATCCGAAAAAACGCAACACTAATTTCCAACAATTGGTATGCAGGCAAGTGAAACGCACATCACATTACATTTTATAACCATTTTACCTCGCATATCGCACAGCTTCGCCTCCCATTTGCTTTTGATTTGACACACACATATCTTCGCGAATGGTGTATGTGCGTGTACGATGTACTGTACGTGCATATGGAAATTTCGAACGCGGCGAACAAACATATGGGAACATTTCTCGCGTAATTTTCAACACAGAGATTGTTTGTCGAAAATACACCGTTTTAACACGTTTCAAGATGGATTGGATCGGCAGGCAAGAATGGATAAGATTTAATTTTTGATGTAGGAATAACGCATTTTACCACGTTAACGATCTCAATTCCTTGACAAATATTTAGAGAGAGTGCCTTTTCTTAATGTTATTTTGATGAAACAATATAAAAATGTTACGAAATCTAGCAAATTTTTTACTAATTAAATATCAGAGAATTACCATGGTGAACACAAGTAAATGTAAAAATATAACTGTTTTTTTAAAGATAAATAAATTAATCCTGCTATAAGGTTCGAACTAGTCGTTGATTTTTTTGTCATCAATTTTGAATGTAGTGATGGCCTCGAACGTTCGTTCGTTCGTTTCGAGCTGTAACGATTTCATTTTAAATTTGATGAATACATCGAATTTTCTAATGTAAAAAAATTTTGTTCGGACGAACGAACGAACAAAAAAATATTTTTTCAAATTGTCGAACGAACGAACGAACAAAAAATATTTTTTTTTTTAATTGTCGAACGAACGAACAAAACCTTTTTTTTAAAACCATGTCGAAAGAACGAACAAGCGTTCGAAAGTGTTCGACGGCCAACACTATTTGAATGGTCGAATATGTCTTGAAATTTTATTTATGGTATTTTTTTAAAAACAAATCTAAATTTGAATTTTGGGTTCGAAAAAACAGTCACATTTCTTTTCGAAAGACAAATTAAGCTCAGTGTGGTGAAAATCCGTGTCGATTTGTTCAACCAGAACAACCATTTTATGAACCTGATTTTTTCATAAACTTTTTGTTGTAATGCATTTTCTACGTTTCAATACGTCAAAATATGTCTGAAAATATTCAAGAAACGTATTTACTTAATTCGAATAATTTTTTTGTATGAATATTCT